GCGATTAATATCAATTCTTTGTAAGATGGGCCCAGAAGTGGACAAATACATGTACAACATGGATATTCTGTGCTTCTACATTTAATATGGAGAATTAATGCACAAAATGTCACCAAAAGTCTTCACCCCAAAATCATGAAGTTCTTGAACTTCTGTCGTCCAGATGTGTATCCAGACTGATTGATTAGTAATCCAATGATCATTGATGTTTGCTGTATCACATATCAGAGGAAGTATAGGAACATTCATCACCGACCCTGAGAGAAGTCCTCCGTTCAACCCTGTTCCTTGAAGCTCTCTAGGGATGTCCACTCACTGCTATCTGAGTGCAGAACAATGGTACAGGAACTCCATGTGGCCGGGGCCTGGGAGTGTGAGGGGCTGGTCTTCCTGTCAAGCATTGTTCTTTTTCATTCCATGTAAACTCCTGATGAGCATCATGGTGTGGGAATGTCAAGGAGGTGTGGGATTTTGAAGCAAGTTAGGAGAAACAGATGATGTATTCCCAGGAATGCTTGACGTATTAAATGTGTGAAAGATGAAATTTGGTTTAACCCTTCCAGTGCCTTCCAACTACCAATACCAAAATTCTCATATTGTACAATATTCTCATAATTGTTTTATTCAATATAAGATAAACTGCATTAGCAAAAAAAAATAGATTGTGCAGCTACATGTATAATGTGAGATGTTTGAATGATTGATAACATTATGGCTCTTTTCAAACAAAACTCTTGTTTTTAGTGAGTGGTAAAATGCATCAATAACTTTTAAAACAAACATTTATCTTTCAACTTTAAGATATTGACCCGAAATAACAATACGCACCATTGTTCAGGGCCTTCCGTACAATATTATATTTACATGTAGTCCCGCTATAAGAGTGTTGTAAAATATATCAAGAACTTTAAAAAGAAATGAATCATTGCTCCAAGGAAAGTATCATGACGTAAGATGACTGTGCAATGTCTGAAATAACTATGAGGGGTTAGTCCAAGACTCCACCCAACATGAGAGATGTTCTGATGTGTCATCTTCATGGTGGTCCGTAATAAGACGTAGATCAATCCCATCATGCATCATGGACTCGGGAGGAGTCTCCTAATTACAGATTGTGCTTTGAGTGACAAATTATTTGCTGTTCCAGACTACATGTATCTGTATGATGGTCAGAAACTGTCCAAGGACTCGGGCAAGAAACTTTTCCAAGTTTGATTTTGTAAGACAGTATGAACATTTAAGGTCACTCAAATCTTAATGATATTCAACTCTTTTGAGATGATTACTTCTTTTCTTGCTTTTTTCCCCAAAATTTCTATAAATGTAAATGTCTTGTTTGAATACCAACACTCCTTGCATTTCAGTTGTAACACAAACTAGCAAATATCTTCTGGGGTATATCTCCAAAGCTATGAGGTAATGGTATATCTCTGATTAGACAATATTCCCTAGAATCAGAAAAGGTACTGGGTGATGTTCTAGGTAAAGACATACATGATGCCACAAACTCCAAACATACTCAAACAAACTCAGTAACAAGGCACTACTGTATAGAGAGCAGAGAGTGAGATTGCTCTATTAGTTTGGATGTTAAGAGGAGATGAGAGAAAGCAAGTGGTCCAAGAAGATAAGGAGCAAGGCTTGGTAACATGTGGAGCATAGTGAGAGAGAATACCCTTGATGTGTTCTAGATTGCTGATTAGCATCGGCATGTTCACACTTAGTGTGAAGTGGGCCAAGAAGATAAGGAGCAAGGGGTGGAGCATAGAGAGAGAGAATACCCTTGATATGTTCTAGATTGCTGATTAGCGACGGCATGTTCACACTTACTGTGTTATCAGTCTAGAAAATAGGGACAAAATGCTTGACTATCCACACAAGATGTATGTGTCTTTGACAGTGCCAAACAGTCTGGTTACATACCAATGACAATGATTGGCTGTAGAAAATTCCACCTCCAAGGTAGGAATAACTTGCAACAAATTTTGAGGATGGTTCCGTATTAAATCGTGTGAGATGTTTTCATGAACTGTGTGTCTCAGTTTTATACTTGTATAAGGCCAGACTCATATTTATCTCATTTACAAGAGGAAGAGAGTGCGTGAGGCTCTCCTTGACCATCTATCTTTGACCATGTCATGGGTTCAGTAATCCACCTGTTATAAATATCTAATTGTACGAGTACATCACTCAGAAGAGATTGATGAAAGCAATATGATTTTGAAATAAAACCCTTCCCCTTCTAAATTCATACTGACTTTCTCACATATCTCTATAATTACACTTGTACGATGCATTTATTGGCTATGAATGTCCCAGAGATGACTAACGTAAACTAAAGATTTATTTTCTGCTTTACCCGCAGGTATTCCATGATCTATTACTTTTAATGATCGGCACACAGGAAACAATGAAAGCAAAAGGATACCCTTCTGAAAGCAATGGTTTCGATAAGGAAACCAACCTTCAGTTTCATGGATATTTAAACTTACTTCATCTAACATCCCATGCTACAAACACTTAATTTGTTGTAATTTCCATTTCACCTCAGAACTTTAACCTCCTGTTCCTTGACCCTAAACCAAACCAAACCAAACCAAGCTTTTCCTGTGAGTAGTGTAGAGGAATGCAAGGAGCTGCATTACAAATTATTAGGATATATCCTTATCAAATGTGTGTGAATATGATATACTTTCAAGAACTGTGTGTCTCAGTTTTATACTTGTATAAGGCCAGACTCATACTCATCTCATTTACAAGAGGAAGAGAGTTCGTAGGGGTTCTCCTTGACCATCTATCTTTGAACATGTCATGGGTTCAGTAATCCACCTGTTATGGGTTCAGTAATCCACCTGTTATAAATATCTAATTGTACGAGTGCATCACTCAGAAGGTATTGGTGAAAGCAATCTGACTATGAATAAAACCCTTCCCCTTCTAAATCCCAAGCCAGATTGACTTTCTCTTTATATCTCTTTAATTACACTTGTAAGATGCGTTTATTGGCTAAGAATTTCCCAGAGATGACTAAAGTAAACTCAAGGTTTATTTTCTGCTTTATATACCCGCAGGTATTCCATAATCTATTACTTTTAATGATCGGCACACAGGAAACAATGAAAGCAAAAGGATACCCTTTTGAAAGCAATAGTTTCGATAAGGAAACCAACCTTCAGTTTCATGGATATTTAAACTTACTTCATCTAACATCCCATGCTCCAAACACTTAATTTGTTGTAATTTCCATTTCACCTCAGAACTTTTTAAAAAGCGGTAAAACTTCACTTTCAAAGTCAAGTCAAGGTGCTTCAACCTCCTGTTTCTTGACCCTAAACCAAACCAAACCAAACCCAGCTTTTCCTGTGAGTATTGTAGAGGAAGGCAAGAAGCTGCGTTACATCTACAAATAGAGCATCATAGATATGCTTTCATGGACATTTAAACTATGATTACTTATTAGACATTATGTGTTTTATTGTCTAGATTTAGAAAAAAGGAAGTTACCAACCTGGGCTTGTGTCATGCCTCACACACCCAAAATCAACCACAGAAGAGTTCTTAGTAAGAGGTGTTACAAGGGAGGGTTATGTAGTTTTGAGTAAACATAGAGCTCTGTGAGACGACTGAGTTCAGCTAGGGTTGCCAATATGATTGATTTTATGGCATCCACCTTTGATTCCATGACCATGTCAGTTTCCTGTCTTGCTCGCTGGCTTTCTTAATGGAACATTTACATTTGATCATAAATCAGGAATTCTGCAAGATTTTCTTTTCTTTTATGTTGTTGCATCTTCAAAGTATTTTTTTTTAATCTTCTGATTTTAAGGTGATCACCGGTATATAGTTCGATATGGAAGATTTTGACATTGAAACTGACATAAAGTATCCATTTTCCAATGGAAAATCGTTTTTCACTGCATGAATTTTACAAATAATGAATTTATAAATTTAGTCAGCTGTATATTGTTTTTATACTTCAAAACATGTATGAGATCAAAATAAATAATGTTTGGCTAAGGTACATTATATGCCCTCTGACCCTACAATATGTACCGTATTTGGATGTTAATCTTTTATGCAAGTACTATCTTTAATACTAAGATTTGTATGGACTGATAAAGAAATGTTCACAACTAGTCATGAGTTATGAAACTACATTTATTTATTGTATTGATCTCTTATCGTCTCAAGCGAAAGAGAGATGGACAAGGTATTTCCTGTTCAAGTTAATCCAAATTTATTATCTTTTAAACCTCTTATCCTCGTTGAACTGCATGAATAGAGGAAATAATAACTATCTTTCCGGGATGATAATTGAAACAATCTGTTCATGTTTCAGAGCCGTTTTTATCAACATACAAGCTAACGATATTCTAGTCTGATAGAGATAGCTGAAATGGTCAGCTAGGTTCAGCCACAAGTGATTGAACTTTGGCTAGTTTCACAAAGGAACTCATCATGCCTTTGTAGTAATGAGTGGAAATAGAACAAATTAGCGCATCCCCCATGGCTACAGATCTAGCCAGTGCAGATGTGTTCTGAGAATTCATGCTATTTAACTTGTCAAAATGTGGTCAATTATTGGTTGTTTAACAGGCTATGAAGCAACGCCAAGGCTAGTTGTTGACTTGTTTCACTGACACTTGCATTTCCTTTTCCCTGTGTGCTTCATCTCACACCTTGTAGAGAGATAAGATCCCTCTTTGAGTTGAGTGCTTCTGAGGAAGATTGCTACAAGTTATACAATATTCAGGAGAAAGAGATATATGCTATAGCACAATCTTTTATTTTGCAATTCACAATGAGAACTTTTAAATAGAATATTCATAGGAAATAATTTTCTTATTACCAACACACAATGAAATGATAAATTTTCTTGCAGGATGACACTATACATGTACTTGCATATATTGCATTGGTTTGTTATCATGCTCCATGAATACTTAAAGATAATTATATGCATAGTTTTTTTTGCAATCTCTGTTTATGCTAATATACAGGGTAAGAATCACCATTGGTGCGCGACAAGAATCAGAGACTCTAGCCAAGGTGATATCAGATGCTGTCGGTCCCTGCCAGCAAGATAGTACATACACCCCTACTGACATCAATGGATTCTTCCAGCCTGCATTTACTATTGACTGGTGCAATGTTTCCATGGTAATGCTAATACATTTATTTATTTAATTTATCATCTCAAAAGAATTTCCAAGTGTTGTTTAAGTTTATTGAAAATGTATGTAATGCATTTTCTTCCAAGATCGTTTTGGCATGAAAAACTGAAGATGGTTAACAAGATAAGCATTTTTACTGGTCTTAATAGACCCAAAGTAATTGGCTAGAGAATTAAGCTACGTGTAAGCTTAGTATATCGAGAATATCCTTGTTTTAATTGAGTTGCTGTAACTTTCATTTATCAAGCATTATTTGTAAGGACATTTCTTTTATTGATGATCTATGTTTTTTTGCTTGATTTTAGAAGATCAGACGTCTCTGTTTTTGAGAAGTTTGCAAAGCATTCCTGGCAACTTTTTCGTAGCTTTTAAGACACTTGTAGTTAATTGTCCCTGTAATAGAAGACAATAGAATTATTGTTAAATGTACTTTGATCTTGGGGGATATTTTTAAATAATCCTGATTGTAATAACTCCACCATTTCCTGACATATCTATCATACTCTAATTCTTTTCTATTTTCAATAAAAGATGGAAGTAAGTCCAACCCAGCTCCAGAACGAGTCGACTCCTGTCTTCTTAGGAGGGATGTATGAACCCCCTATCATGCAAGTGGAAGATTCCGATCGTTTCCTTGAGTTCCTACTACTGGTAGTGGTTCCCTGTGCTATCATGTTCTGTTCCATTCTGGTTTTAGGGTACCTGATGTGCTGCGGGCGGAGTGGACGGTAAGATAATATCTTGTCTGACAATTGTTATGTTCACTTTGTGTAAAGCTCTTTTTCTCTTCTGGTTTGAAAAAAAATAGGTTCAGTTTGTTTGTTGTAGCTTATGTTTCTTGTATGTTTTAATTTAATATCTGAAAGGAATGTAGTTTGAAGATATATTATCAAATATGAAAGTGAAAAATATTTCAAGTTTACATTAAAAGAAACGTGAAACATAAAAAAAGATATATCTCATTGAATAGGAGGACTGATATTCCAATTGAAAATATTGATTGCTCTGTGGATTGGATTGTCATTAGATTACCAAAGAGGTAATAACATTTGTGTGTGTGTGTGTGTGGGTTTGTTTGTGATTTTAGACAGATAACGTTACCCAAACCCTTGCTTCCTGGTCAAAAATAAATTTCATGATTGAAATCGGAGAAATAAATAGGAAAACTTAAGTAGACCATATGAAATAATCATCAAATGATTAGCGATCAAGTGTCCAGACATATATTTAGTTATACCTGTCAAAGTAAGCTATTTTGCCGTGCACCCCCTTTCTGCTTATCTTAAGATCAATATATATGATCAAGATATCTTATTCTTTATAAGGTCAAGATTTATAAGGTAAAGGCCTACTTGTAAATCTCTTTTCAATTTCTTTCCATTTTCAACCCTACTCAAGGGATTACTTTATCATTGAGTGATCCAAATTTATTTGGATGTTTTTATCAACACTGCCCTCAATCAGTGTCCACCTCCAGCCGGCCAGTTTAATAAGTGCATCTTAAGATTGATGTTACCATAGGAACAGCATCTAATTCAACCCTGATGAACTTTCCAATTGCCCACCTCTTTTCCTCCAATCCTGATTAGATGCATTGATTATGTCGATCTTTAATCCATGAGATTTATAAACACTTGATGTGGTTTGTGGAATGGTTGAACGAAGACCAGCCTCTTATCTGATTTATTATCGAGCTTTTATCATGAAAAAGCTTAAGAAATGAAGATTTGACTAAATCAAGACATCAATCTGTCTCTCCCTTGGTTTGAGGTGTTTCACATGACTGTGAGTTTAAGGGTGGTCCATGAAATATGATAATCCCACTTTCCTGAGCCTTCATCCTGTGGTAGGGTGATCAGCTCCCGATAGCCTCTCAGAAATAATTGAGGATTTAGATTGAAACGAGGCAAATCTCCTACTACTTTCCGCCTAAATATACGCCTTTGGTGTTTGCACTGCCATTTTTCATAAAGAGATGTTTTGAGGAATTCACCAACTTTCTTCTTGTTACTCAGGTTTTGACATTTCCTCATCAAAACTTAATCTTTTATCATGGTACCTGTCGTTATGATCATTTTTAATGGACAACATTTCTTGCATACCTTTCACTTTCGGTCTTAAACAATCCAACAAACAGAATCTGCTAGATTTAATGATCTAGATCTCCCTCATCAGGTAGCCAGGTGATAATCTTGACACAATTCATAGAGAAATTAAAGGAAGGTTGTAGCGGTAGTAAAGCCGGCTTCACAACATTTTCTGTATGCATATAGTCCTCTAAACAAAGGGTTATAATCAAGTATAGACATCAGTAATTATGGAAGCAATGTTAAGGAAAGACAGCTTTGAGGTATGAAAGTAAATTTTAAATAAAGAAAGTTTTTGATTATTGTATAATTTTTTATTCTTAAACAGTATAAACCAGAAATTATTCCAAATTCAATTTCATAGCTACTTTGATTTGATCACACAATAAATGAGAGCATCTAAGATTGCCTGCAACTATTTTTAATCCCTTGCTTCCTTCTGCATCCAGAGCAAGAATGATAGGTGAACAAGAAATGATGATAAGGTGAAAAGATTAGCTGCTCTAATCTAGCCCTATATCTCGTATTAATATTTTATCTTGCCCTTGTGATTCTCATATTACCACCCAAGGAGTTAAATATAATCAAACAGATTTCCATAGAAGAATAAAAGATGTGCTTGGCATTTATTACCGGTAATTGTCTGATCAGGATTCAGCAATACTGCAATTTGACTGTAACTAAGTGACCTTAACCCTACATTACATGTATTTATTTAGTTTTAGTCTTTTCTTGTGTTGTGTGCTTATATTGAGTAAAATTGTCTTGATTTAGTAAAGCTAATGTGATTAGAAGAAAACTATTATTGAAAGATCATGATGCCATATTAGTATTTTGTGAAAACATAGTATATATTGCAGATACAGAAAATTAAAAATAGGTGAAGGAAATTAAATGTTAGGTGTTGGGAGAACAGATTAACGTTTTTAAGAATAGGTCTTTGTTGAGATCCATTTTGTTCAAAAGAGTTCTCATAGAACCATGAACATCATGCATCAAGAACAAAATAAGAATCAGAACAGAAACCGAATTTTCAATACCATAAATAGTTTTATTTGTATTTAACACTTCTAATTGTTTTAGCCCTCCGGTATTACATTTCTTGATAAGAAGTCCTTGAGAAATTATTTAATTTATGACAATTAAGCAGATTTCCTTCAGAATATCCCTCGTGTGAAATATCGCAAGTTTGAGCTAATCTCTAGCTAGCAAACCTGTCTACATTTCTCTTTCTATTTCCTCTATTTCCTTTCAGACCATTTACATTTTTATATGGTTCCCTCATGGATTTGTTTATTTACATCTTTATGATTTTTTAGAGAGTAATTTATTTGTTCTTTGACATGCATTATTTGCTGTCTGTATCACTTTTCATGTCATTCTTAATTGATTTCCTCTCATATTCTTTCTTCCTCTCTCTCTCTCTCTCTCTCTCTCTCTCCCTCTCTCTCTCCCCCTCTCTCTCTGTCTCTTAGTTCATTTACTTCATTTGATAACCATATTTCTTATCAACCAGCAATCTCTCAATACATTCAAACAATATCGCAAAACTCACCTTTTCTGTTCAAAACGTAATTTTAAAGTGCATTTGAAAATGTATATGGAAAATATGCTATGTAAATACAATAGTAGAACTAGTAGTAGTATCTATCTTTCTTCTTCTTTATTTCTATCATTATAAACTGATCATGACCACACAAAAAAATGTACTAATACTTGTGACACATTTAAATGGGTTAACAAGCAAAATGAGAGTCTGTCAGATTAGTGATTGCCAAATGGCATTTGACAGATCACATGACATCAGTGTTTTAATGTGTTCACCATTTTCAGTTTTATTCAATCTACATTTCCAACAGGTATCATCTGAAATTTGTAACCATAAATATTAAATAGATTAATATAATCTTGCTTTTAAAGGAAGACTTGGAGTACAGATATAAATTTATTGCATTTGATTTATCAAGGGATTTGAATTGTTCAGCCGAGTAGCATGTTAAAGGTTGTTGACCCATAGAGGGCTTTAGTTCTACTGGTGTGGAAAGCAGAAATGTTCAGGTCTAGCGATTGTCCTCCATGCTGTCTGTCACCAATAGAGGGCTTCAACTGACCTTTCAGGATATATACAGATTCCAGCTTAGATTGAGAGATTCTTGTGGGAGGGAGATCATCAGTGATATAGATAGAATCAAAGAGGCAAAAGGCGAGAGAAAGAGAGAAAAAGAAACAGAGACCAGGAGAGAGAGAAACAGAGAGAAAGAAACAGAGAGAGAGAGAGAGAGAGAGAGAGAGAGAGAGAGAGAGAAACACATATCTGTAAGAGTTTCAGAGAAGAATGGCTGAAGCAGATATAAAAGAGATTGAAAATAGATAGGACGTGTAATTACTTCAAAAGATAAAACTTAACTCATTCTGTTTCATTCATGTTTTCAATCTTAATGTATATTTCATGTTGACATCTACCACTTTATAAATGAATAATACATTATTTCAATTTATTTTTAATTTTAAACACATGTGTAACATTGATTTTGTTCTGTTTCTTTTATTTCCTATCTTGCAGGAAAGAAGTTGCCAGTACATCTGAGTAAGTATGTTCCCACACTCTATCCACCCAAATCATATCTAAACATTCCCCCAGATCTAAGATAATGTAACCAGCCTTCATTTCCTATGAAACGCAGCAGCTTGTTTCTTAGCAGGAAATCTATTTGATTTCATTTAAAACATTCAGGTTAACAGGTACAATTTCATTATTTCATTTCTCGCTTGTGAAATGTTCTCCTAGTGATTTGAGAATTGAAAGGAGGCTGTGAAATTTGAATTGGTAGGAGGAAATTTGATTACAAGTTTGGGGAGATTTTTGCAGCATCACGGAGAGTGTTTATTTTGGTTCTATGATTGATGTGATGTAGATTTAAAGCAGGGAATATCAGTGACAGAGACCAGTAGAATGTGTCTTAGCAGCTGGTTGGAATTTAGATATTCATTTTAATAGTGTCCAATGGCATTGACCAGGAGGATGTGTCATGATGCTGGAAATAAACAAGTAAATAATTGTATAGTCCTTCGAATAATGGAGTAAAGCGTTATTGCAGAACTCACGTAATCCATCCTGTGTTGGCCAATTTTTAAAGATTCCAAGCCTAATTTGAGCATACATTCTGAACATATATAGTAGGTAATAGGACCTAGGTAGTGTTGCATTTGAAAGTGATTTGTCATTAAGTCATTCTATTTTTTGCTTCACCTCAATGCAAATGTGTTTTTTTCTTCTTCTTGATGCACATATTTCTTGGTACCAATTTACTAGAGAATATAAGTGCAGATTTATTCAAGAATGATACGTCATTATGAAAATGCTAATGTATTCATAATTTGACATTTCTTGTCTTCATTACCCAAGACCATGTAACGGTTGGTTACATCGTAAATTAATTTAATTACCAATGTCATTTTTATCTTCACTTCATATCTTTCAGAGCTTCTGATGAGTGATAAGTTATTAGAAAACTTTCACCTAAATCACTATTGTTTTGTTGTTGTTGCTTTGTTTGACCACATTTCCTGAACTTTAAATGTATTTATCTTTTATTGCATTTGTCAGTTGGGAGCCCAAGAAGGTCATTAGCTCATATACTTTAACACATAGTAAATGCCCTTGTGGCTAGGAACTGTATTTGTATGAAATATGACGTATGAAGTGAAGATATAAACCCATCCTCCTATGAAAGGTAAAGTGAAAGTGATTTTTTAGCCTGCAGGTATGGAACCATCTCCATAGAAACTGATCATTCTAAACACTGTCCAGATGGTTAGAGTCTAGACCCTAGCATCCTTACAACAAATCATAACATGGATTAACCATCATATTTCTCTGACAGGTATGAAGCCTGGTTTAGATTGGTTAAAAATGATAGTAAACTGTGTAAGTAAAGGTAATCTTGAGTTTTTTTAATGACAACGTAATGAAACTTACACTTCATATTCAAAACTACAGATACAATGTAAATGATACCTGCCATATGATATTGATAGAAAGTATGATGATATGTCAGGAGTGAGCAATGGAGGATTAGAACATCTAGCATGCATGCAAAACATTTGGTTTTCAATTATGTAAATATGACCTTTGCTCTTTAGTGATGTTCTCCAGCAAGCTTTTATTAATTTCTCTATTAAATATTTTCTGGTCTACACAACCTCCCTACCGCATTAATAACAATTTAACATTATTTTGAGCCAGTTTCTCTCAAAATAGAATTCCATTACCAGAGCTCAATCTTAGCTTTCAACTCATAGTGTGATCTGATTAGGATATTAAGGTAACCCCTGTATTTCTTTATATTTCAAATTGATTGAAGAAGATTAAATTCAAGGACATCTTCTGTACATGTACCAGGTAAAGATCATAGTATGAAAGACATCATGTATTCTGATGCTTTAAAGATGATGACTAGAGTGGATCAGGTACTCACTGGGCTCTGGGGCTTGTAGATGTAGGAGATAGTAGAGCTGATATTGATCCCTTCCTTACCTTAGGATATGTATGGGTTGGTTTGAATCCAGTTCCCATTGCACACAGAGAGTGGTGTGCAACCCCATTCATTGTGTATCATTCTATGCTAAACCAGTACTGCAGCATGTTAACATTGTACTGGTCATCAGTTGTATTGGTACTATAGCATGGCCATGAAGACACTCTTCTCAAACTGTGATGCTTAACCTGAAAGATTTCTTGCCTAAAAGAGGATGAAATTTGACATTTGATACAAAAGCACAGCGATGAAAGTTTTTTGTTTGAAAAGAGTTGAGTTGCCGTCACTGCAGGAGGAATTGCTTCAAGCTATAACCCAACCTTATTTGGTGCTGGAGTGTTGATGATGTGATAAAAGGATCCTTCACAGTTCAATGGTCTTCAGAGAAGGGGAAAGAAGGAAGGGGAGGGGGAAGGGGGAAGGTCGAGATCTTTATCAGTGTGCTATCAGGACGTTACTCAAGACATAGTCCCACCTCTTAACAATCATCAATGTCTTGAGTCGGTTATGTGGCTGAGGAATGAAAACATGTGGCGTATGAAACATTTTACTGGGATGTAGCTGATGGCCGGACCATGCTCTGATTCAGCTAAATAGAATTCTCATAGGTATATACTCAAGCTATATCAAAGTAACTGTAATTTTCTTTTAGCAAGATCCTGGGTGAGATGACTGGAGAAATATAGTCAAATTTGTACATTACATACCGATACATTAACTTATTACCAGTACAAATTCTTGATATGAAGACAACAGATGAAGATGTCCTGCTCAAAGTCTGATTTCATATGACTAATTTGACTACCAAAGTGCTTTATACACCTGAGGTTATGGATCTATTTCCAGCAACAAAACTGAGCCAAATTCAAACAAAATAAGCCAAATATATTAAAATAAGGATTCAGTTTTTGTTCTGTCGGCCACATAGAGGTAATATCACAGTTTGTGAAATTTTGAATTAACTTTTGATAGAGAATTAAACCCAATTATGCAGTTTATGAAACATAATAAATATGTTTGTAGCATTTTTTTATTTTAATTCACACATTTTTTTCTTCTCAATATACCAGGGATCAACACAGACAGGCACCCAGGACATATGGACATCCAGAATCCAAGTCTAGTCCCCTCCCCCCCCCCCCCCCAAATATAAAAACATTCTCACATACCGGTATATCTCATTTATACAGCCCCTACAGTTTACAATTCGGCCCCTACTAAAGTGTTAGTGTTGAGCCCTGGATATACATTTATATTGTCTTAAGAATGCAAGCTTGATAGAAAATATTTCTATTCAAATCTGATGAGGCAGAATTATATCACTCTAATCTTTGGAATATTTATATGCCTATCTATGGGTTGATGATAAAAGCATTCTTCTATGGGTAAGAATGCCCTTAGTCTGTGAGCGTGAATAAGATCTATGATCCATTGGTCTTCAGAGACCTGGATGCGTGGAGGCATGGAAACAATCACTTCCTTCTCAACAGATCCTGGTGTATGTCTGCTCTAACGAGGGCAGCAAACCGATCGTTATTATCTCAGCTATGGTGGAAGTGATTATGGAGATGGTGTTTTCTAAGACAGCAAAGTCTGTAATTTGAAACCGGTAGTTTTGTGTCACATGCCATCAGTCGTTCTCCTGTGGTCCATAAAGAGATTTATCATCAAGAACAATCTCCTAGCCCTAGGGTAACCAAGAAATCAGTTTTACCAAAGAAAGACTAAGCTTTGGTGTAAAGTAAAGCACCTTGCAAATTATTGGTGCTTTATGACTAAGTAGGCAGCTATATATGGAGCAATTTATTGCATATCCTCCATAGAGGATGCAAAGAATTTGATTTGTTGCTCCAAAAAGAAGTTTTTTGTTGTTGAAAGTGTTAATTGTGGATGAGTCTGTGAAATCAATTGATATCATCAGTCTGTATCAAAAGACAGTACTAATGGTGTTAATCCAGTATGTTATCTGTCATTATTGAAGAAGAAGGAACTCGTCGTTCCTCAACCAGCAATAGCCAATATTTGAAACAGACGTACTGCAGGACAGACTTCTTCAAGTTCTCCTATTTCCCTCGTACGTGCAAGGACTGGAATAAGTTACCTGATAGCGTTATCAACACGGGATCAATTGATTCCTTTAGGTCCCATGCGCTATAAGATCGCTCCATTCCATGACCACGTGCCTCGTTTCCGTGTCTTTATATGGACTAACAAGTCTGTCGACATGTATTGAAGAAGAAGAAGAAGTACCACAGTAAAGCGATTCATCCACTTGATATTCAATACATCAGTACAGAGGTTCAAATCTCTACCTGTAAGATGTCAGAACATGAGGCATTTATTCTACAATTGCCTCTATCAACCCAAGGGTATCTAGCACTTGGTAGGATTTCTCCTTGACATAATGCAATCTGTACTACAACATTAGAACTTTGTTCCGGTTAAGTAGTATGTTTAATTTGCAGAAGCAGTTGGAGATGTAAATTCACTGTGTTAGATGCAATAAGAAAATGAAAAGATATACAAAGAGATCTCCTATACCAAAAGTTCCAGATTAGATTAGATTCCCCAAAGCATTGTATCTCAGATAAAGTAGTCTACTGCCCTCTGTAGGGTCAAATACATCATTCACCTCAAGAACCTGTTCTAAGAAGACTAGCAGCAGATACAAGAGAGTGGAGTTGAATTTTGTTCATAACGTCATTTCTCGCTTTGAACAGTTATAAACATGTCACATATATTTTCTACTGAGAGCCAGAAAGCTGTTAGCTCATATAAATCGATATACTTTTACATAAAGAAAACACTCATCTGACAATACGATACATTGATTTGATCTTACACTGTGTAATAGAGACTGACTCCAAAGCTTACTGATTGCCTGGAGGTTGTATCTTGTCCACTTCTAAGAGTTCAAGACTCTTTAAATCAACCAGGAAGTAACAAAATATACTCTTTCTTCCAGGGTTAATATCCTTTCTGTATGATACATACATGAAAGTACTTACAGAATGTTCTGATCACAGGTCATTTGAACTTTTATCTTAAAAATCAGTTCTCAAGACCCAAATGTCCCTGAATCTACCATCGCACTTTTAACATGATTGATGATTACCAAGTTAAATCAGTATCTTGAGGGTATATCATCATCTGTCAACGCACATCCCGCCCAGCATTACAGCCAAACAATGACTATAAATAAAGAGCTTTGTGAGATCATGCAACTCGATAGTAGTGGAGCCCTCTACGAATCATTCCCAATTTCCTCAACCAATAACTTTGGAGCGAGCTATCTGACCGCAGGCAAAGTTACGTGCCTTTTAACTCAGGAGGCCTCCTGTTGTATTCTTAATCCCATTTCCTCAAATTTCCTTTTTGAAATCTTGTCCCTGTTCACTCCATGGAACGGAGCATGTTTCCCTGGTCCTATCAGTGTTTTGTTAGAGCTAAACACAGCCCTCGGTTAAGTGGTACATCGGTTATGATTGGTTGGTTAAATTCTCTTACCTTCGGTATGAGAGCTAGAACCTGGGACTTGGAAACATAACCTCTTAATTGTCCTTTTTCTGCAACTCATTCAATATGGTGTAGTCGATTCTATTCATTGAGGAATTTACATGTATCATTTTGGTCAGTCCATCTCCCAGCTGTTATGAAACAGTTAAATCCTGTAGATAACCTCTTCTCCATACAACATGTTTACCTTGTACGTTGTGTCTTTATGAGCTGACAAGTATATACACTGGACATTTCAAATCAACACCAAATATTTCAAAAATGTTTTCTTTTATCAAATTTTGGTTCAGTTGCTTCATATTTGGCACAAGGTTTGTATTGCATTCCATTGCTTTCCTCTCTCCTCTCTTTTCTTAAATCCATCGATCATTTTTTGTTTCTACCATAATGCTCATAATTAAAGAAAAAATGCACCATGCCTTTCCTACTTTACCAAGCTCTTTCATTGGAATGACCTTTATTCTTTGAAGATCACCGTCATATATGTATTTGTATATGGGAACACACAGAATGTTCTTGTAGATGTAGAACTAGAACTATGATGTTGCTTGGGGTTGCATGAGGAGGAAATATAGGCCTAGTCCCAATTCTGTGATAACTACGACTAATGCCTCCACGAAGTTAAAAACATCAATTATGTATTCTTGTATTTTACTCATCAATGACATTGAACCAAATTATGATAACCAGGATAGGATGTGTATTTTTGACAGTTCACATTTATTGGCATTCAAAGGATGGGACCAGGCCTAAGATTCATGAAATGGCTTTTTTGTACATCAAAGACTAAGTATTAGATGAATTTAGTTGACAAAAAGCTGTAGATCACCGATAGAGGGCCGTTTGGTTGTGAATACAGGGTTCAATGGAGCTGATAGGAAAGCTTACATCACAATATAAATAATGTTTTGATATGAACTGCCAGATCATGACATCATACCATAAAACATACATGTAGATGCATTTGTAGTTTAGGGCATCTTTTCATGAAACCATCATAAATACAAGTTCAACGACATCCCATTGAAACTTGTGTTAAATTAAATGCACACTTTTCATTAGGCTATCGGTGATCTTGTACTTACAACGATTTCATGAAACAACCCCCAGGTTATTAGGAAGAGAAAGACGCAAATAACATGCACTGCACTATATGGATAGATGTCATTCTCATTGGCATGTTGTAGTGGATATAGAGGGAGAGTAGTCTAGAAAGATATTATTGCTTCAATGAGAATTGATCTGCATTTAATATCACATGCAGGTGGTTGGAGTTAGTCATAGAACAGTCATTCTTTGAGCTCAAGCTGTCTAGTACATGGATATTAGGTGCAAATTAATAGATTCAAGAATGAATACTTTTACCCATTCACCAGTGGAAAATAAAATATGCGTCATCCCTTTCCTTTCTCCTTCTGTCTCTCTCTTTCTAATGTGTCTTTATCTCCTTTCTTTCATTTTCAACTTGTATCTCGAGTTCTCATTCTCTCTTTTGCTCTCTTTCTCTTTCCTCTCTTACTCTTTCTCTCATGCTCTCTCTCTCTCTCTCTCTCTCTCTCTCTGACCTTCCATTTCCCTGTTTTCTTGTACTATCTTGCAATCTCTGCATTCCATTCTCCTAGAAGTTTGAAATCAATAAAATTAATTTGTCATTGTCCTACCTTTCTTTCTCCTTCTCCTCTCCCGCACTATGTCTTCCAGACTGCAGCTGACCCATCATAGGACGTTACGTCAGGCGTGTCGCGACCTCCGTACGATGTCAAACCGACGTGATGGTACTGCTTCCGTAGCGACGCTTACTCCAATCGGCACTCCAACTGTCGGAAGTCAAAGGTCGCACTCTCGTTCTAGGTAAAAACTTTTTGTAAAATGTATTATCCTAGGATGATTTAAAATTCTATTCAAAGTTTTATCCATCCATCTTTCCAATAAATGGTTAAATCTCTGCAGTGTCTGATAAAAATGCTCTCAAATTCACTCCAACCAAAGATATATTTCCTCCTTTGGTAAACTTTTTCTTCACACTTCCTTGACTGATTCCACTCTGTTGTAGATCAATGAACCTTGCAATCCTTAGACAGTCCTTCATCTGTATCTCATGATCGTCTGTCTCTGCAGCGTAAATCCTGCTCAAAACTCTTTTTCCTATTTGATCAGTAGAACACAGCAATCTGAGACATCTTACATCTGTGATACATGATATGATATCTGCTAAAATTAGTTATTTATTTCAGATCCTTCTGCTCTTCAATTTATCTTTTTTCTCTTTTTTCTATCAAAGAAATTATGAAGTTCTTAGTCATCGAGAAGAAGCTCTACAGAATTTGTATCTTTTAATTTCCGGTATATTACAAACAAACCAAATTGCTCTACCTTTATGGTACTGTGTGCATTCAGTCTAAGAGTAGGCCCTACTGTACTATGTAATTATTCACTGACATTGCAAGTTTTTAGTTGGTTTGTCAGTGTTTTTAAGAACAGAACTTAATTGAACCTACTTGTATGTATTAAGTATGAATAAATTAAACATTTGCCCATAATATACACAGAGGTATGTATCCTTGATTATCTAGTAATGATCTTGACCTGAGGAAAGCCCTAATATTTAGAACGCTTTCAAATAACAACTCTTTTTACCCTTGGATAGTGAGAACCAAGCTAGCTTGCCATGATTCTGATCTTCTTCATCTACTGTTGATCCAAAGGAGATTTACATACAGGTCTTTGTTCGCTTCATGGTAACCCTACCGTGCGTCATATACTTCACTAGTTTTACCTATGAAAGCCAATAGTTTCGATGTGTGTGTATTCATACTCTCAGATTTATCAGAGATATCCCAAATATCTCTCTATTTTTTGCATATCGCTTAGATTAAAGTAGTTATTTAAGTAAATTGAAGGTTTTTAAATGACAAAAACATTGAACAATATCACAAACTTTTATATTGTATCTGTGGAGACATCACTAGCCATATCTCAAAATTGGCAATTCTTTCTTATATGCTTTTAAAGTTCAGAAAAGTCATTTGATAAATACACTGGACATTTATCAACTGTAGGGTATATTGAAGTGGATTTGTTAAGAGCTGTTTGATTTTGCAATTACATGAAGTTCACTTCTCTTCCCTTGCCAATTAAATGACCAAAATACTCTGAGAAATCACTAATATTGCATTATCGCCCTGTTGATAGCAGCACAGATTTAGATAATGCAAAAGTTAGACAAAGTTCTGTCTATCGCTCAACCAGACATTGGTTTATAAGTAGCAATCAGGAGCTCAATGGGACATCCAAAGAAGATTTAAGGTCACAGCGAAGTCACTACAACGTTCATATTCACCACATTACTGCTATCACTTTAAGTGGTTGATGTACCCACAGGTCTACACAAACTCCTCCGTGTTACTATTTGTAATGTTGGTTGATTTCCTGGAAGATGTTTGTTTCCATGGAGATAAGGTTGTCCATGCTTGATGCTTGTCCACATGTTTCCTTAGCTTCTGCAATCCATCATGACATTTCTAGAGACCAAAGAGAAGAAGTTGCGTTGTAATAGCAGAAGATAGATAAATAAGCAAGGATTAGAACCAAGAGATCCCAAACTAAAGCTTGAAGTACAATTTTTTGTCTGGTGTCGCAGCTCATAATTTGAATAAAGTTATGATTTCTGTTGACAGAACAATAATTTTCCCCAGATATTGATATCCAAATTTCTTGCTCAATGATATAGGAACACATCACATAGCTTGACCAACAAATGCTTACAAGGACATATATATATCTCTCTGTTAAAATAATCACATATAGATTGTGAATTATTGCAATGAGGCTCGTTTTTTAAGCCATTGGATCCCAAGCCACATATTTCAATATTTGTTACAGACAGAATATGATATTACTCAGCAATGATAGGATTAACATCACGGTAGGCAGGAAAGGATGAAAGCCTTGAAAATGAATTAGAGATAAACCGAATTGGGATTGATTTAGGGGTAACCGGGAGTTATTCCCGGGCTGGAAAGGCCATGAAAGTTTGAAAAGAGATCCAGCTCGTGTGGTGACTTCCTGTATGTGGATAGAGCAGTTTGGAATATGGGAGTGTGATGTTGAGACTTCTGAGGGGGAAGGGTTCTACAGGTACCTGTTAAAAGTGATAGAAAAGATACCTCTAATTGTTTAATGAGCAAAGACAAAAAATAGTCAGAAGCAGAGTCTATCATATTTCACCTGTTAACTACTGTGTTCTCTCATTCTCATAGGCTTGATACAGGGACCACCTGGTTTCTGTAGGCAATGGATTTATAGATAGCCTTTATTGTAGCAATGGTAGTAAAAGTTATTGTTAAAGCAGTCTCAGTATTAGTTTGATAAATGCCAGCATTTCAGACTTCACTTCTCTTTTAGTTCTAATGAGTAAATTCTCCCTAAATGAAATACGGTCATCAAGTAAATAACTGAACCCCTATGATCATGTCAAACACCGTATTGCTTGTAAGCAGTACTGACTTCTTTGCACAAGCTAATTTCAGTTGCAGAATATTGCCATTTAGGAGGTTTTACTCATCACAATATAGTTTATGTATTTGTCTAGCCCCTAGAGGTAAATTAGAATTTGGGCTAAGATTTGAAGAATCTTGGAAGGAGAAGATAGAATGACAGATATAAGCCAGGGTAACTTCCTTCTGTGATGTAATGTGAAATATATCAGCTGGTTTGGTATTCATAGTCAATAAAAGTAAGAATGAAGATGATTCCTAGCTTTATTTGAAGGTAAGGGATTTGTCTGGCCTATGAAATGATTCTTTTAAAAGCTATAGCAAGGATGCTTTTAGTAGATCATTTCTGTTCACAGATTTTTGTTCATATAATATATATAGAATAGGTAACAGATATAATGAATTGATCAGCCTGATTTTCATGTTAGAAGTTCTCTCTCTCTCTCTCTCTCTCTCTCTCTCTCTCTATCTCTCTCTCTCTCTTTCTCCCCTCTCTCTCTCTCTCTCTCTCTCACTCTCTCCCTCCTTTTCTCCCTCCCTCCATCCCTTTCTCTCTCTCTCTCTCTCTCTCTTACTCTCATCTCTTTATTATTCTCTCTGTCTCTTTCTCTGTTTGCTCTTTGATGACTCCTTTCATAATCTCATTCTCTCTTATCCTTTTTCTTGTATTCTAATGTTCTCCTTATCTTTCACATTTTCCCTCTCTGCACTCTTTCCTTATCATTCATTGATTTATAGTTTCACTTATAGGGATCAGTCCTGTATCATCAGTAACAATAATATAAAATTAGTCCAAGTAGAAAATGTGTTGAATCCTCAAAAAAAAATGGTGCGAGAGGCTCATTAGTGTAGATCAGACAGCAAATCTGATATTAACTTTTCCACATAACTTCAGGACACTGATTTTTATGTTCATACATGTAGTTATCAATGATGGTAATGTGGAAATGGTCCCCTATCTCTTTGTCTGCTCACTCTTCTCCTCATTTATTAATGTTGAAACAAGTGTATTTATCCTCTCAACCTTGTAGAGCAAATTGTTTATTCTGTGACTATTTATATCCAAACAACAAATTACCGTTTCATGATAATGAATCGATTAAAGGACATCAAAGCAGATGATTTGTCAAAGTATGAATTTCATCTTCTTTCAATTAATGATGAGTGTACAGACATTTTTCCCATAAACACATCTGGTCAGCTGGACCATCTTTTTTCTGTCTTTGGACGTTTCCTTCACTTAATTCCACGTAATCTAATGACTCACTTTGTTTGATTGGGAACATGCCACTATATCAATACAGTGTAATGAGTGTTTCTGAAATATCCCTATGTCCCATCAGCTGTATCGTGTATAAATGTTTATGAAGAGTCACCTGCTCCGGTCACACTTTCCTAATTACGAGGCCCAGCTGTAAGGATTGCTACTCTTCTTTTGAAACAGACATTCATGGCAGCTAGAGCCCTTTGTATCTAGTGGAAATGAGGCTATGTAATTGCTTCTGTTATTACTTTTAATATTAAACACATCATTGTTGCCACAAAGCTGCAAGAGATGCTGCAAGATTGCCTTGCACCTACCACATCAGTCCTTCTAAAGACTTTGTCAGAAGAGTTTCTTGTTCTCTCCCTTCACTCGCTTTACTTACCTATCACACATCCTCTCATTCTTACATTTTTTTCTACCATCTCTTTCTCATTACTTCAATATTTTCTTTGTTCTCCTATATCTCTTGCATCGCACAATTCTCTTGCATTCTCTTTTTCTCTCTCATTCTCCCTTTCAAACTCACAAGTTCCCTCAATTTTGATAGAATTTAATCAATTTCAACTTGGCAAAGCTGAATCCTTTACAATTAGACCTTGGCATATAACTTTCAGAATAATTGAGTGATTAAAAGAAAATTAATTAACACAGTTTGTGTTCTTTGTTGATAAGCATACAGGTGTTAATGTTCCTGTGAAACTTGTTTATGCCATGTTACTTGGCTTCACACCCAGGGGCGTCGCTAGACCTTTTTCAGTGGGGAGGGGGGTGTAGAGGCCACCGATTACTAACAAAACTAGCCACCAATTACCGACAAATGAATTAATGCCAATGTGCCAATGTCTACAAATTAAACCCTATAAACCTGGGCCTGGGACTAATTTCCTACAAACTATCTATACCTGTGCATGAGCACATGGTCATTTTCCTTGACCTCATGAATACACGTTTTATTTTGTCAAGACTAGTCAGCATCATAGCTATAAACAAATTTGCATCCCCAGAGTGCAACTACTCGGTGTGGCGTGATTGGAAAGAGCGCTGCGTTCGTACACAAATAACCCGGGTTTGAAGCTTGATGGAGCAATTTTTGAACCCCTTTTTTCTTTTGCTGATATTATAGTAAGGTTGTCAATGACAATGATTTTTAATGATTGCTGGTTGCTGAGTTGTAGACTCTCGAAAGTCATCACAGCAGATAAAAAGTCACAGTTTGAGGAAAAAGTAATTCACTGGCCGACTGACATTGTACATCTCACCGAGTTAAAACTTCTGCATTGATATAGTACACGAGGATCGAGCTCAACCTGACACAGCAACGTATCTTTGCATATTTTTCTTGCTCCCCTCGACGAGATGAGTCCACCCAACAAGCCCTTTTCCTTTTCCTTTCTTTTCTTTCTTTTCCTTTCCTTTTTTTTTCTCTTTTTCTTTCCCTCTCATTTTTTTCCTTCCTCCTTTTTTCATTTTTCCTGATGGCAGCGCAATTTTACCAACAATATCCTGATAGGCACCCCCCCCCCCTCTAGTCCCCTCCTCCCACCTGACATTGTGATATTTTAAGTAATCTTTAAAGGTCAACAACAAAGTGAAAAACCTGTCCACAAAAAAATACCTTCATTTACTTTGTCTTTGTCTTTTGAGTATGATTTATGCAGGTTTAATATCTTACATTTAGTATAGCTAAATTATTTTTCCAGAAGACATCTTTTTGAAAATAAAATGTCAACTCATTGCAAGTTACATTCTGAATTTAATTCAATATCATACCTCTGTACATGACCATGCATGTATACCACACACACACTCACACACTAATGAATACATAATTATAATATCTCAACAATAAAACACTGTATTATTTGTGCATAGTCTATTTTTTTCAAGATGACTTGACCTCAATTTGTTCAAAAAGTTCTAGAAGATCAGAAATGTTGATGAAAATAAACCAACTGTACATGGTCAAGTTCCAAGTGCATGCCTGATATTGAAATGAACTTACTTTGTAAAATCCCACCATTCCAATGTCTTAATCCACATGGCTCTTATCCCTCAACTGTGAAAATATCTTATGCCACTGTCTCCTTGCGTTCACTATCTACATACTAACTGTCCTCTTCTAAGAGTTCACTTCATATTTCTTTCTCGTTAGCTTTTCTATTGTCATCATGGTCTTGTCCATGAAGTCCGAATGACCCAGACAGGATGTCATCATTGCTTCACACTCTATGCCAAATTATTGGGTTAATTTGACAGAAAAATAGTTGTTGATGGATGACCACTGCAGCTCTAGCCATCTGTCCACTCTACACTGCCCCTTAACTAGGGTCCTAGCTAGAAATGAATCTGGAATGATGTAATGTGTCCTTATAAATTACTTCCTTTGGCATGAACCAGATGAGATGTATCCTTGATTATTGTGAGGTGTCTTCATTCATTAAGGACATGATATCACATTCAAATGAATACAGGTGATGTGTAGATACAGTTCCATTTCTCATGACTTTTCAAGTGTCTTTTCATTAAGGAACATCTGCATTTTTTTGTCATTCAGATACTTCTTACACTTTAATGTAAAGCACCAGTTTGTGACTGATTCAATTATCACTTAAAGTACTAATTATGTGAGCTACTTGTGTACTGAGTTCCTTACTGATGGAACATGAAGCTAATCCCATGAATAGCTCAAGAATAAAGCTATTACACACAAGATAGTCCTGGCAATCAGGTAATATTCCCTACATGTATATTTTATAAGTATGATGTACAAGTAGTGACTTTTTAATTGTCATTTACCTCAATTTATTGATGAGTAGAAATAGAATAATTAGTAGTTTGTTAATGTTGTCAATACCATTTTGTTTTGTTGTTGTTTTACAGAGGATATGATGAGTACCCATGGGCCAGCAGCACCCCTCAAGTTAACCATCGTGGTATGGCTACCCCACCCCCCTACAGGACACCGCCCCACCCTCACAAACATCGTGAGACAAGCTTCAGGTGGGTCTAATATTATATTGATTTCTTTCTGTTTATTCATTCACCATGTTAATAATCATTGTTAATGACATCTCTATTGCAACTTCTACATCTTATATTGCTCAATCTGAAATAGAATTTATCAATATGGATTGAGTCCATGTATACTCTAGACCTAGTTGATTATTGGAGACATTTGAGCGTCACTTTATGAGATCATATAGTTTTTGTAAGCACATATATTTTATACTGATCAAGATTTGGACGGTTCTTTTAAAAAGAAGTCATTCAGTTGACATCATTGCTATTTGCAAAATTCTAGTTGATTTTATTAAAGTAACTACTAGAGGATATATAATAACATTGCATTCGATACACCTTAAATGTTTGCTAATTGCATGCTAACTCAAGGTCTAAGTATGTCACAGAATGGAGAGGGATGTCACAGTATATGACTCAGCATGATCCATGTATACTGAGAGAAAACATCCATGTGCCTCACTACTCACAGACTCAATTAATCCTTCCTCTTACATCATACTATCATTGTACTATCAAAGGTTGTCAGTCATAAGATTTATGCATGGAATTCAGTGAGTGAATTCAATGTGAGTAAGAATGATTTTGAACATTTTTAAAATCAAATTTGAACATATACACTCTTCATATGAATGAATAATTTCTCACAGACAGTAAACCAAGATCAAGATATTCCTTGGTTTTTATCAAATGGGTTGTATCATTGATTTTGAGATACTGTCAAGAACTCAAGATTATTACAAATGTTTGTCACTTGCAGCCTCTCTCCTCAAGTTCAAAGATATTCTTAAACATTGCTTGTTACACATGGTACCCTAGGAAGTAGTGAATCTTTGTGTTAATCTAACGTATGTCATCAAGCGTTTGACCGATTGGCTGGGACAGGATGAAAGGATTAGACTTGCAGTCTGGACTCTGCCTGTCATCACCATGACGACAGCATCAAACTTTCTTATGAAGCTAGAGCTAAGAAGGGGGATGGGTGTTCAGGCACAGACTCAGAAGTTTGATTCAAAGCATATAGTGAAGATATTGAATGATGTGTAGAACTTCTGTAAGTTTTACTCTAGGACCTAGAAATAGCTTTCGGAAACATACGTGCGTAACATCATATGTTGTGTACCCGTGCACCGCCGCACACCTGGGGGGTGTTTCACAAAGATCTTAAGTTGAACTTATCTCTAAGTTGGACTTAAAAAATATGGAAAGCCGTTAGCATCTTTGAAAATATTTTGTAAAAGTTATTTTGAAAGGCATAAAATGTTGATTCAAATCATTCATATTTTCTATCATCAAGGAGATTTAATATTCTGGATGTGGAATTTATAAAAAGTCTAAAATGCCTGAATTTCTGCTTTTGAATATATTTCACTTTAAGGCTCCAATGGCTGTCCATAATTTTTAAGTCCAACTTAGTGTTAAGTTCTACTTAAGATCTTTGTGAAACACCCCCCAGGAGTATGTAAGTCCCGGAAGTGGCTTGAAAATACATCCAAGAGGCTACATCCGGGCATATTGGCGATAGCGAGAAATTAGGGCCAAGAAACAAATCAAAAGAAAGAATTGATGATGTAATCTTGACCCATATGTCTTGACTTGTATAAGGATGAGAGGGAGGATGAGAGGGAGGATGAGAGGGAGGATGAGAGGGAGGATGAGAGGGAGGATGAGAGGGAGGATGAGAGGGAGTCACAGGGGAGGATCAGATTAGTGAGAGGAGGAAATGAGCGCTGGATTTACCAATCTATAGAATCGGTTCTTACCTCGTCCTTTTTATCTAACCTAGATCTTCCAATCTAGGACTCTATTGATTGACTAATTATGAAAAGCTAAGCTTAGGTGTAATTCATTCTAAACTTATACAGGACATGACAAATGTATGTAAAAGTGAGGTGTATTGCTTGGGCTGCATGTGTAGAGATAACAAACTTGCCTAAGGCTTTCCTCATGTAGCAACATAATACAGTGTGTCTATGTATTTCACCTAATTTCACCTAGGGAATGCTCTATATATAGGCAATTTTAACTTGCTTTATGAATTGTTTTGAGAACTAGGAATGGCTTTTAATCAAATTTACTTTAAAATGCTCTCCTCATTCTCTTCCATTTTCTGTGCTCCTGTCAGTTGAGCCTCAGCTCTGTTTTCCGCTTCACTTTTGTCCCCGTCATAATGGTCTTAATCTCTCTCACATTATCTTCCTCCCATGTGTGTCCTCTTCATGTGTTTCTTCTCATCCCCCTCTGGGCAATCCTCCCACATAGAGTAATAAGCAAGAAGACAAAGAAACTTAAAGTGTTTGCCAAAGATTTGAAAGAGACCTGAATGAAAATGAAATGATAGCAAAGCTATGACAGTCATGAATGTAACTACTTTATGATGTAATAAGGAATAGCTTTCAATATGTTTGTTGGTATATGCAATAACCCATTTGACTCCTTTTCGATCTGTGCATAAGGGCTATAAATTTAGAATACAATGTCTTTCATGAACATCATTTTTGTGTCCTGCAGGAAGATTATTTTCTTCATAGAAATTTTTAAAAAAATATGAATTATTTTAGTTAGTCTTAAAGCTGATGAAGAAATTCTAAAAGATGTATCACTCAAATAATCATGATTTTCACTGATTTGAGATCTGTATCTGTAGGCCTCAATTTTGTAATATACATGTATTTTATACCTGTGTCTGTGATGCGTGCTACCAAGTTTAGATTGCCCTTTAACTAAGCTACAATCGAAGAGCTTTAGGGCAAGGAACTGAGTACTGAGTGTTAAATCTGACTCAGTTATTCTACCCATCATACATCTGTTATAGATTCACTAGTTTCACAAAGATGCCCTATTTATTGTCTTATCATAACACATCTTAAGATGTTACCGCACGCCCCCTTCCTTCTTCCCTAATTGAAACTCATTCGCATTAACATAGTTTCGGTCTTTTTTTACTTCATGTGCGTGTGTGTGTTTGTCTATGCAGTCATTCTTGGGCTCACTTTTGATTATCAATTATAATGATTGTTTTTGTCATAGTAAAAAGACAATCTGCTTTTTGTCTTTGATTACTGACAAATTTTATCAAGATGTTCTCTTGAATTCATTTGTGTTAGGGCCAAGTGATCTAATATTGTCATCTTTTGTTTATTGTACTTTATTAGCAACAGGTTTCACTGTCACTTAAAATTATGGGTTGGTTTGCAATCTGTTATCAACCGAAATACAGCAATTTCAAATGAGGAACAGTGATATTTGGCCATGAACTGATTATTAAAGTTGATAACTCTAGAGAGAGATGCAAAGTCATATTTTCACAATTAGATTTTCTAAGATATTCAAAGAGTTTGAAAGGAAACTGCACTCTTTTATATCAAACTTGGTACAGCTAAAGCATGAAGCTTTCACTTACGTCATGCCTAAGAGTACACCTTTCTGGAGTAGTAAAACCAAGCATAACCTCTCCAAGCCTACAGTTATACCTGTCTCAAGAGCTGAAGAAGCTCAGACTATTCTCATACGTATGATTACACCTGTCATCCTGACTAGACACTTGTCTTGGTCAGTTGGGTCTTCCTTAATCCACTCTCACTTTTGATATAAACTACAAATAGAAGAATTGATAATATCACACCAAGATAACATCGTCATATGTAATTTACACCAACTCGATGACATTTGATACTCTTTCTCTCCCATGTTTTCATGTGAAAAGTTGATGTCAGGTAATTTGATCCTAACATTTGGTTTTGTAAGGGTGACTGATAAAATGTCAGTTTACTCCAAAAGAGGTTGGCTTAAACCCATCTCTTCCCATTTTCCATTGAATCCAGACCACCAGAGGATTAGCCCTCATCCCTTTGCTCTAGAAATAGCCTGTCACATCTCATTAGTTAATCTCTATTTTTTCTTCTGTCTCAGTCTCCTTTCGTTGTTGTAGACATTTGGATTCCAGCATACTTGTCTATTCTTGAGCCGAGTCCTTGGTCATCGACACATCTCAGACGACAATCGCTCCACGGTCAATACCCTATTCTAGACAAGTTCTGAAGTTCAACCCTGAACCTAACACACAGTACCTTACTCTGAGCTCACTTTCTAAAATGTATGAATCAAAACGCCCATTTATTAGCGAGATTTTGATCATCATTATTTTTGTTATAAAATGCACCTCCATTATGTATTTAATGCAACCATCAGTAATGTTGTTTTGTTCTTCTAATTTCAGTAATCAAGCATCGGACAAGAGACGATTATCTGAACCTTCCAACGCCCGAGGTAAGATGTGGCGTCGGTCTTTTTGAAAATTTGAAAATTACATACATTTTTTAACATCTATTAAAACATTCTTCTCAACTAACTAGCATGTAGGATGTGAGTTAAGTTGTAAATGTTTTCAATTGTTCATCTTTATACAAACAGTATTCACTCTGTATCTAACTTTTGATGGGAATGTAATTTAGCAAGAATTAATGACCTTTTTGCTTGTAACCAATGATATACATACATGAAAATGAAAGGAACATCCAATGTTCTGTTGCACATGGAATGGGAATGCATTATATAGAGTAAAGTTCCTTGTTCAGTCTTGTGTTTTAATGTATAAAATTTCTGAAATGTGTGCATACAACACAGTGTAATATCTCCACATTGAGATAGAATTACTTTACAATGTACAGTTAAACCTGCTTTAGTGACCACCTGTCTACAAAGACCACATTTTTTTTGTTTCCCTTGAAAATGGTTTCTCATCGAAACATGTACTATAGGCACCTGTACATAAAGACAACCTGCCTATGAAGACCACTTTTCTTGTCTCCCTTGGGTGGTCTTTATAGACAAGTTTCACTGAATATGTTTGCTCCGGTTTGCTGTAACCTACTTGCGTACTAACCATCTAGATTTGTCTTGTATCTTAAAGGACGCAAACACAGAGCTGGACCACAATCTTCAATCCTAACTCTTTAACAAGTAAAACACCTCATAGTCAACACATGTACAAAGCATGAACAATTTTTATTTATTTTATTTTATTTTCTTTTATTCATTATCAAAAGTTATTTTATTTAATATTAAGCCTCTTATTGTTTCCTTCATTTTCTTTTTTGTTATAGACGAAGTTTAATCGTAATATTTCATTTAAGCATTTACATTACACCCTAATGCAAGCTGAACCACCTCTCTCTCTCTCTCTCTCTATCTATCTCTCTCTCTCTCTCTCTCTATCTCTCTCTCTCACTTTCCCTGTATGTTTTGTTTGTGTGTGTGAGTGTGTGTTTGTGTGTACTTGTATTTGCAATTTTTCCTTTTGGTAATTATTTATCATCTTGTTTCATTGAGTGTTTTTTTTGCATAGTTAAAGTTTGTTTTATTTCATTTTCTTAATTCTTCATATCTTCTTTCTTTCTCCATATATTCTGTCTATAGGTGTCTCTCTATCTCTATCTCTCTCTTCCTCTTCCTCCCTCTCTTTCTCTCTATCTCTCTCTCTCTCTCTCTCTCTCTATCTCTCTCTTTCTCTTCCTCCCTCTCTTTCTCTCTCTCTCTCTCTCTCTCTCTCTCTCACTCTCACTCTCAATCTCCACCCCTCCCCCTTCCTCCCAATTTGCAGTCTTATGTGCCATATTAAAATCCAACTATAATCGAAATTCCTGCCTCTCAGCAACCAATTTGCCTTTTTGTTATTTGCATATTGATGATGCAGTATTCACATTTAACTTTTAGGGGATGCAAACTGAAAGAAATGTTGTAGTTTCACTCCCAATTTGATTATCCATTGGAAAAGATCCAGCCATCTGATCCACTGATCAGTGATTATCTGTTTGCATGCCAAGTGCATTTAAAAAAACTTACCGTATGTAGAACAAAGATTACAAAATACAATCTTACTAACAACCTTTCTGTTTCGTTCACATGTGTTACATTCAGAATTAGATTTGTCAGTGATAACAAATTTCATTTGATATCTAAAATTAAAATTTATTCTGATTTTAAGATGATGGGGATGATTTTGTTTAAATCTGTTACTGTAGTAAGTCCTTAAATGTACTAAAAATATATTCTCTTTTGTCTGTTCTTTGTTTTCTTTGTTTTTAATTTTTTAATTATTTTTTCTTCTTCATGATTTATATTGTTGTTCTATGTGTTTGGAGTGAGTACTGTTTCTGTATCTTTCTGTTGTATCTTGCTGTTATGTTTGTTCTTATTTTATTCACATTTCATATACTCTTCTTTCTTTCCATAAATCATCTTGTGATATATAATTCTAGTTTGTTAATCTGTATGTGACTTTACGACTGTCTTGTGATATTCATTGTGTTCATTGTAATCTATCAATGTTTGTCATTTTGTCCATGTGGTTTCAGAGCTTTTCTTCCTCTTTTTTTCATTACTTCTATCTCATTCAAAACTTCTCAGTAATTTTACTGTGAAACTACCTACAAGTATACTCTGTTAAATTATTGCTTATTTGTTTTCTTTTTTATCTTTTGTTTGCTGTTTTGCAGGTGGAGAGTCACCATCAATGCGTCCTGTACCACCTTTCATGGGTAGCACCACATCAGATCGAGTACGCCCAAGACATGTGTGAAAGGGTCTTCACTGTTGCACTATCAAGAGATGCACTTTAAGGGGTCATTCACACTGCATATAGTACTGATATGATCTAATTGCAACTCCATTAATTTGGTGGTACTGTGAAAAACAGTTTTGGAAGGTCCTAACTTTTGCAGAGCAATTAATGTTGTATAGTTGTTTGTTCACTATTTCTATTTAATACGCCATTGAGTGAGAATATATGAATTTTGAAAAAGCACAAAACATAGTACAATAGACTCTTCTTCTTCTTCTGTACATGTCAACAGACTTGTTAGTCCATATAAATACATGGAAACAAAGCACATGGTAATGGAATATTGACTCACTAGACTGTATACAGAACATCAACATTTTTTTTCTAAATATTGTTGCAGTAGTCTTTATTCCGGTGTATTATCTTCATTATATGTCCCAATTCTTTTTTCAACTTCTTTACAATGTGGATCACCAGGGTGTCTAGCCTGACAGACATGAGTGCTATTACATTTTAAAAGCCAATGTAAATGGTAATATAAATACAGCAAACATCTGTTTGTGTTAGATTGTTAGAAATTGTAACAGCTTTTTGCAGGATTAGAGTAACTGTAAATAGATATGCAGCTCCTTGCCGTATAAATAGGCTGAATGATGTTAGCTTACAGTACTTGTGCAATGAATCTACTTTAGTGTGACTAAGATTTATATTCATATTTCCGTTATTATGGTAGCATTTATTTTTATTTATTTTACGAAATGTTGTACAATGATTTAAAATATGTGTTCTGAAGTTTGATAATGCTTCTTTCATACATGAATATTTTTTATTTTATTTTAAGTATATTCATAGGAAAGACTGAATTTGGCACATTAATGTTCAGAATTAATTTTGAAGTGACAAAATTCCTTGAAAGTTATTCTGAGTTTGGGAACTTTCTCTGATTAGTCTCCTCTCTCATCCTATTTGATTTTTGATTGATTTATTCTCAAGATTTGTTTCACTTTTTTCCTTCGGTTAAAGTTTATTCATTTTATTTAATACTAATTTCTTTACTTTAGACCAAATGTGACGGATGACATGTCAAATGTCACAATTATGTTTTAAAAATCTTTTTTAGCACAGTGCAAAGCCTTTTATGGTGCAAAATTGCAAATGAATTGTATATCAACACTTTGTGCAAATGTAGATATAAACACGATGATGAATGGATCAAATTATGTAGGTAGATGTTTGGTTGTGATTTGTGATATTTTAATAAGTGCTGACAGTATATTACTTGTATTCATTTAATTTTATTAACATGGCACTAAGAATGTATTCAGTAATGCTAAAACATGCTTTGCTCAATGTATTATGCTAGATGCTAGCTATTGAATGATTGATATTTATATTATCAGTTTTATATCGATATTAATATTTATTATAACGTGTGATAGACCTTGATTTGTGTGTTCTGTCTGAAGGAGAAGGCATTGATTCTCACATTACTATTAACTTTTATCAGACCTTTAAAATTAGCTTCGTGGAAAGTTTGTATCACATGATCCAAGAGATGACACCAGTACAACTTACATTCATTTGAGAATTAACAGTACTAGCTGTAGAGCTACATGCATGAAGGTATTCAATTGGTTAGTGCTCACTTGTGGAAACCATCTCAATATGAGTATCATATTAGCTCCAGTATCACAATGAGCAAACAAATCAAAACAAATTTTGGGAGTCACAAAAGCAGCATGGCTCATCAGAAATCATTTCCTCTAAAACTAGTTGGATGTCTACCGGTATCTATGAATGTACTTGACAAAGCAATTTTGTCTAGTTGATCACGGTGTGGAAAATTGGTCATGGTATGCTGGGTACCCGGTAGGATGCGACCGTCATTGTTGGTCAGTTTTTGAGCATCAAGTAACGCCTGGCTGGAATGCTCCCCAGGGAGTGGAGATTGTACACACAGTGTGTGCGGGCAAGCACTGAATCCAATGACCGGGTAATAGTATATTTGTAAAGCGCTTAGAGACATTGTATTAAGCGCTATATAAAAGCTAAATATTATTATTATTATTATGCATGTATCATACTGCCAACCAATTTTGGAGGAATATCAGTTGAATATTAAAGCTTATACTGCATATCACGGAAAATATGTGTGTTGTTATTTCATACAAAAGTGTACCGTTTTTGTTTTAGAACAACATGCTTCATTGACAATTGCTCTACAGTCAATTTCCAGCACTAATAAACCAAATTCTTAATTTCCAACCTTGGACCCAATACTATAAATAACCTGAAGTCCAACCTTAAACACAATCACAAGATTCTAGTTTTATTGTACAGAAATCAAAACCCTAACCCTTTAGCTCTGACAAAATAAAGGTAGAAGCAATTGTCATTTGAGAATAATTGCATCACATATTTTCCTCATTTACATACCCCCTCTCTCTCAAGTCCAATGTAATGTAGATACATGAATGTTTGATAATTAGTTGCATCGCCTCGACTCTCAGCGTCCCTACCCCCTTATTTATCTCACTCTCGCTCTCTCTCTCTCTTCTAGTTTCTCTCTCACGGTCTCCATTGTTCATTCCTTGTCATCTCTCTTACCTATACCATCCCAAGATGGTAATTATTTGCACGTTTAGAATCTATACATCAATGTGAGGGGGATTTGTTTCACTTTTCACAGAGGTCCATCTACAGTCAAAACTAGCAACCTTTCAGCAAATGACACTTTGAGAATTTCACACATGGTTCAGATTCAAGAAAGTTTCATTCAGTAATGAGTAATAAATTGAGTAACTGACAGAACACTGATTTTTTTTTGGTGCAATTTGGAAGTCTCTGGTCATTAAAATCACTCTTGTTAATAAATCTTGATAGTTTCATGTTGCAAGAGTTTCTGGGTCTACAGTAGGTTCTTACACAAACACAAAGCTCAGCAAATGTTCCTTTCTTCTTGTTTATTGTGATCACCTGGCATTTACTTTTATTTTCTCCTCGTTTTCATGAAAAAGAACATAAAGATTGAGAATGAAAAAATAAGCAAAAGACCACAGACATGACTGATTGTACGGTACCGGGCAATCCCCCATCCCTAAAACTACTCAAATAATTCATCATCACATACGTCATTAAGACATAACATCAGATCATACAGATGTGCCCATTGCCTGCAGAAACATCGCCACCAAAGACGGTCATCTCTTCAACTAATTCCTAGATTTTTGTCAAGATTTCCTACTTGAAAAAGAATAGTTGAATACACAAATGATATGGGTCATAGTTGCTTATTCTACAAAAGCTATCTATAAATGATACCAATGAGGGCTTAATCTAACGAAGCAATTAATAATTTGATTACATAATCACTCTTAGAGACAAACGATACATAATTCATGAACACATATCCTTCAGAATTTACAACTTCTTTTCATACATTTCACAAGCCATTTGAGAACAAAATAGGGAAAACTTAGTAAATGGTGGTCCCCAATTCCTTGATTTATTTCAAGTTTTAAGGTTCTATCTACAAGTAGTATTGGTTTCACAGTGATAACTCATAAACCACAGCTCATACCAATCGTATTAATACAAATAAAAATCTAAAAATTATGAGTAACAGGGAAATGGCCCAAAATTAAAAGATAATGACCGTCAACAGCAGATTGTCTTGATGACAAAAAAAATCTGTTAAAATTTAAAATCACATGTTGGTGCAGGGGGGGGGGGGGGGGGACTATTTCCCACCCCTTAAATTGTCAATGTTTTCATGTGGTACGACCATATCAAAATTAAATATCCTTTTACCTCATTTTTCACCGTGGATCAAAACCCGAGACTGCCACATCGTGTACAGTACATGAGCACTGAATGTGTGACAAATGTCAAATATGGCAATCTCACTTTCCTGAATGGTTGACCAAAGCAGGTGACAAGTTAAAGCACCAATAAAGAAACCACAAATTCCAGACAAATTATTACAGAAGATACTTTTATACAATTTGTTGAGGAGCACATCTACCTTGTTTGGATAAAAATAAAATTCTCTATGGATAGTTTATCAGAGAGCTTTCAATTAATTCCAAGACCACATAGCGAGGATTAATTCAACAAATTGAAAATGTCCATTGATTGTTTTACACTTTGTGGGAAAAGAATTCTATATTTTCAGCAAATTCTACAGATTATGTTGGGTCTCCTGAATATATATATGAACTTCTGGCTTTCCACAAACATAGGATCTAAAAACTAAACTAAGTACTACCAAACTCTTGGAAGACTCTAGCCATTACTTGAACCAAGTATTTCACATGATCAATAATTGGCCAAGGAAAAAGAAAAAAGCAATTCACACTCATTACTAAAAACATCTTTCAGACTGGCACACAAAGATCCTTCATACTAAATATTCTAGTTGACATTACAAAACACAACTACAACTGCGAGCAAGATTTCATAAAGCTTGTATACAAGAATAGTCTGTCTTGAGGCCGTAATAGGTTTGATAAAAAATTACACAAAATATGAATTTTGTCCTACCAGGGCACATACTGATATATAAGAGCTTGGCTCATAGAGCAGATATCAAGATCTAAATCTTCATCTCTTAAAAGGCTCTTATTAATATTTTCAACATTTTTTGAGTCTTTCTCTCTTTCTCACGTCACTGCATGTAATTGGACCCAGGAACATCGACCACATGTTTTTTAAACTGAAATAAGAAACAATGATTTCAATTATCTCTATGACCTTTCCAGATCTTAAAAGCTTTTTCTCTCAATCTCAAGCTATGAAAAGAAGAAAATCTTATCAAATGACGTCAGTGTTTGGTAACAGTCCTTACAATCATCCTTACAATCAGAAGAATAAGCTGACATGACATAAAGAATCTTGGAAACAGAAATCAACAATGAGGATACAAAGATAATAATTACAGAGTTGCCTTTTCCAGTCGCAGGCTTTACATTTCCATCAAAATATCTCGCTTATTTTTTCTTTAAAACTTTGCCCAAACCCATATCGGCTGATATCTCAAAATCACAAACACGTCAGCCAAAGCCCTGTCATTCATAGCTAATCATAAAACATTCGCAAAATACTCGGTCCCAATTCTATATGTTGGTATAAAAATCATACATACTCTTTTTTTAGTTAAACCATGATTTTCTGGACTATAAGATATAGACTCTCAATGATTTCATATCCCTCTTTACTTCTTCTTCAAAGTATAATTGCTTAACATATCCATGTCTAAACATTTTTTAAATTTTATCTGTGTGGTTGTTATTTGCTCTTCCCTCATCTAAGGAATCTTTTCAATCTCATCCTCACCCATGCCATCCATTCATAGACAATGCCTCCCACATGAAGG